GACTGATAAAAATGCTAATTTTAGAAGAACATTTCAGAGGCTTTTGCATCTGAACTCTTCATATATATCTTCTGAGGAAGTGAAATATAAGAATTGTGAAGTGAAAAATCTGCTGAGGAAGTGAAACATATTATAATTTATTGGTGGTTTTCAGCTGGTGGCTCACGACCCAGGGTCTGTTCTGATGCAGGGAAAAAACAATGTTGAATTGACAAAATGATATATAATTCTGCATGTATAATTTTATGATAACCTTTACTTAAAGGAATATTTCACCCAAAAAATGAAAATTTGCTGAAAATGTACTCACCCACAGACTATCCACGATGTAGATGAGTTGTTTCTTGATCGGAACAGTTTTGGAGAAGTTTAGATTTACAGTACATCACTTGCTCACCAATGGATCTTCTGCAGTGAATGGGTGCCGTCAGAAAGAGAATTCAATTACCTGATAAAAACATACATTTCTCCAATCCTCTGATGAAGAAACAAACTCATCTACATCTTATGTTCTAAGGATGAGTCAAATTTCTGCAAATTTTCATTATTGGGTGAACTACTCCTTTGAAATATTCCTAGATCATGCAGTAATTTTTTTTTTCTCTCCAGTCGTTTCATGTGATCCACTCTCTGCACCACTACATGGCAGGATGAATTGCTCCGGTCTATTTGGGAATCATTCCTTCAACTCAAACTGTACATTTTCTTGTGCTGGTGGTTATAAACTGAATGGTGCAGCTGAGCTCAAATGCAATTCCTCAGGTGCATGGAACGCACCACCACCTTCATGTGCAGGTGCAATAGATATTTCAAAGTTATGAATCTGTGTTTACATCAGAATGTCTTTTATTATGTAAATATATGCATATAAGTACAGAAATGATGATTTTTGTAAGTCCATGCATTTTCTTTCAATACAATGTCCAGAGGACTGCAAAGAACAAGTCAACAACTTCACCCGTCTGTCTAAAGTAGGTTTCTCTGAGCCAAAGAATGAAACAGGTCAGAGCAAACATTATTTCAACAGACAAACAAATGTAAATGAACCAAAGTTATGATTCTGTTTACAACAAAATGTAAATATATGCATGGAAGATTAACCTGTCATTTTTCTGTTGTAGCGGAGTGTTTTCCCATTCTTTTTTTTGGTGGTGGATTGATGAACTGCAGTGAAGGACATGACGGCATTAGATCTGCCTGTAGAGTACAGTGTCCACCTGGATATTTGCTGATGGGTTTTGCTGAGTTCACCTGCAGAGCTGATGGCACAAGGAAGTCTTCATTTCCACTAATTTGTGCAAGTGAGGAGTTTGCTCTTTTTAGTTGTGTGCCACAGATATTAGAGTACAATGAGAGCATTATGTGATAATAGCAGGAAATAATAAGGGTGTTTAAATTTAATTTAAAAATATTTTAGTTCATTTTTTAGATACCATGTATAAGAAATATTCAGGGAGCAATACCTATATATTTATTTTTGCTACCACTAAGCCACTATTTTAACTCCATCAGAGTATGCTGTTATTTATTTAACAAATTCATATATTTATAATCTGAATAAATAACTGATTTAATTATGAATCATTTCCACACGCACACACAAATGTCTTTCAAAACCAACTCTGTTACATTCAAAATATTGAGGCTTTGAGGAACATTGTTCCAAATCATGTTTGAACCCCATGGTTAAATTAAAAATAAATAAATTCAATTATTACTTTTTTTAAATGGGAGAAATGTAAGGGAAAAGAAAAGGGAGGGAAAGGACAAAATTTGAATCTTAAAAAGATTTATAAAGCATTTAAAAAAAACAACATAGCAATTTTCTGATTTTAAATGCAAACACTTTGGCATAAAATGAATTCTTTATAGATTTGTTATATCTTTCCTCAGGTTATGTCTATTTTCTGTTTGCTCTTTTGGCATCTGTTGTCATCTCAGTGTTTTGTGGCTGTTTATTTTGTTGCTCCAACTGCAGTAGGAGTGAGTATACTGTGAAGTTTTAAAAAGTGTATCAAATTTCAAACAATTCATTGCAAAGAGAAATATATGTTGTATTATGCATATAATATATATGTATATTTTTATTTTGTTGTAGGTAAAAATACAGTGAGATTAAGGTAAATTATGTTAATTTTTAAATTAAGTTTGGACAGTTCACAGAAATCTTACTCCTCCGTGTTTTCTTGCAGAACTCAACAAGAAACGGTGAATCCAGCATATGAAGCAGAACACACACCACTAGAGGGCCCTCTCTGTCCAGCATAAAGCCTCAAATCTTCTTCTGTTCATTCTTTTTCATTCTAGCTTTGCTTGTGCAAATATGAAATAGTCAATAAATTAGTCACTTTTGTCATCTTTTGCTCAGAAATGCTATATGTTGTTTATTGTTACTGTACAAAAAAAAAAACACTGTGAGCTGTAGAATGTGTGACATTAAAAATCATAAACTATTGTATTTCTGGCATATAACAGCCTCTTAAACATCCTTGTGTTGCTTTTCCTTTTATGGCAGCCCGTGGCGGCTAAACATTTCTAGGAAGGGAGCCACATCCAACAATTTTAGCATACATACTGGTATGATTTATCACAGTACAACAAAAGGAAAAGTATTAAAACTTGAAACATTTTAAATAAAGATACTTGTTTTACCAAGTTAAAGTCTGAGGATGATTCCCACAAAACGATATTTTCTGCAAGATAAATTAAAACTAAATATTTAGATTAATATTTAATTTTAATTAATAATTAATTTCATAATCCACAATTTATGTATACAGTGCAACAGCAAAAACTGAGGAAAAAATAAATGTTACATTAGTTTAGTGCATTTTCTATACATATACAAGTCAAGCTGCAATAGCAAACAGGACCACACGGAGATGCCAACAGACTACTACAGCAGTCGCCTTAACCTGACTGTATATAAATATAAACGGATCCATTCAGAATTGTTAAACAGAGCAAAACACAGATTAAAAAAGAAAATAAAAACCTGAATTATTTTTTTTTTAATTCTGAATTCAAGCTCTTCACACTGGATCTCACAGCGCAGTTTAGTGCTTGCGTGACCTAGACTGATCAGCGAGTAAAAAGGCAGTTTTAATATATTTACAGACTAAAACAGTTTGGTTACCAGCATTCTTCAAAATATCTTCCTATGTTCCTCAAAAGCAATAAAGACATAAGGTTTGAAACAACATCGGGGTGAGTAAACGTAAATGTAAATAGGTCTAAACAGAATTTTAATTTTTGTGAAACTATCCCCAACTATTTTTTAAACTGAAATGATACTCAAAATATAATATAATAATAATAAAATAATAATATTAATTTCTTATTCGTTTAACTGTTGTATAAAATCATTTCCAAATTTGCATTCATTCGTGACTCGTGTGATAACTTTATAAGACAAAAGCTCATTCAGGGGCATTTTTTCCCCTATATCTAGAATCGTAAGGGCTGTCCTTGCCATTTTTGCGCTCTTGCAAACTTGCCAACTCTTTGTAACCCATCATTATTTGTGCATCAGTTCAGTGGAAAAATACTGCACTTTAATATTGCACATATTGAATTTTAATTGCACTTAAAATGGAAGGCCACCAAAACTTTGTGACAACATCTATTATGTGTTTTAGTAAAGGAGATGTCAGTGAGTGCCGGCATGCTGATGTATGCAACTGTGGGAGCTGTTTCTTCAGCTGGTCTACTTCTATTTGGAGGACTAATGTTTCTGTTGATGCACCAATTCTCCAAAAAGGGTAAAAAATTTAATGATCCTGTTCCACTCTTGGCACCACCATTTTTAAACCATTAAACGAATAAAAATGGTAATTTATTGGGATTTGACAACAACATTAGTTGGTTGGTATTTAACAACCTACGTTCATTGTTATATTTTAATATTTAGTGCTTGCAAACTGTAAACGCCAATCGCAACAAGGACCAATCCAGTCACTTTCAGGAACAATTTAGCACTAAAACTTACTTGTTCAACTGTTGTTCCAAACCTGTATGACTTTATTTCTTCTGTGGAACACACAACAAGATACGTCTTATTGTTCTTTTTGTTCATACAATATAAGTCAATGGTAACAAAAATGTTTACCAACATTTCTCAAAATACAAATTCATACAGATTTGGAACAACATAAATTTTCAACTTTAACTGTTAGTTCTTCTAACAAAATGTATTATTCTCCACTGCAGCTAATTACAGTCTGACTGACTCTTCATGGGAAGAGAATTTGAACCCAACATTTGAATTCAATTAAAATACAAGTTTAAGTAAAGTAACTGATATTTTCCATCTTGTTTTGTGCTTGCAATAAATGAAGATTTCAACTGAACTGTGTGTTGTGTGTTGAAATATCCACGTCAATAGGCTAGTATGCATTTATTTGCACATTACAAATATACATTTATAGTTTCCAGCATTGTCATATGCTAATAATGTAATATCAGTAGGGTCATTCCTATCTTTGTGACACCATCACTAGGTGTGAGAGAGACAGTATGAACACTGCCAAAAACACTCTGTTTCACCCACTGTTTCATATAGCATCGCCCTAGATGTGCTGCTCCAGAACAGACACCCAGGCCAGAATGTGCTGCCTCTGGGCGCTGTGCTCACTGTCACCCAGGCCCAAAATCCAGACTCTGGCCTTTAGTTGCCCCTTCACCTTGTTCCTTCTGTAAGAGGCTTTGGGGTCAGAAGGTAATGAGCATTTTCTATAGTCATGGTCTATAAGTGCCAAAACATGTCTAATGGTTTTTTAACATTTAGGTGTAAAGTTAATAATTTTTATGAGCTATTTGTAATAGCCTATGATTTTTGTTAAATTGTGAGCTTATTTAGCCATATGTGACACTGGACCATGGAATCATAATGTGGATACACATACATATGGATCATAAGCGTCAATTTTTTGAAATTGAGATTTATACATCACATGAAAGCTGAATAAATAAGCTTTCCATTAATGTATGGTTTGTTAGGATAGGACACTATTTGGCTGAGATACAACTATTTGAAAATCTGGAATCTGAGGGTGCAAAGAAAATCGCCTTTAAAGTTATCCAAAATAAGTTCTTAGCAATGCATATTACAAATAAAAAAAAGGTTTTGATATATTTAGGAAATTTACAAAATATCTTAATGGAAAATTATCTTTACTTAATATCCTAATGATTTTTGGCATAAAAGAAAAATCGATAGCCTATTTTTGACCCATACAATACATTGTTGGCTATTGCTCCAAAAAAATATAGCTACTCATGCTACTTATGACTGGTTTTATGGTCCAGGGTCACACATACATTAAGAAATATTTGATAGGAATGTGCAAATGTAATGCATAACAGGGACCTTCTATTTATTACTGCTGCTGGTCAGTAGGAGCTCTTCAGCTCTTCAGCATTTCAGCACAGAAGGAGAGAGATGCACGGGTGCCTAACCAGTCGCATCTGTCCTGGCATTAACGCAGCGTGACGCCAATTATATCGCTTAAGAGGGAGCGGGTCTGCAGCCCATCCTGGCACGAAATGCGTAATAAATAACTGATCAGCTGACTGGATGCCTCCTGGCTGCTATCGTAATAATAACGAGGCTATTGCTACCCGCTGTGACCGTATGATAGCCGTTTGATTATTTTTCGTTTGCTTTGGCTGCTTGGTTTGCCAAAGGCCAGTCTCGCGCCAATAAATGCACGAGACGGAGATGCGCGTGCCAGTGCGGAATACATTGACGCGTTCACACATCAGTAAACCGATACAGTCATTCCTTTAATATTCATTTATTTATTTTTTATTAAATGTGCACTGATTGCGTCAAAAGTTTTGTGCACTATTAGGTCTAACTGCTGTGTTACTACTATATGTGAGTCAGGTGTTTTCAGTGGCCACTGTGATTTACAGAAACCAGATCATGAGAGTCATGGGTGTTAATAGCCTTTTACTGGAGCACCCCATCAAAAAGTGTTACCATATTGTGATACATTACTGATATGCATGTATAGATTGTCTTTATTGTGCACTATTAGGTCTAACTGCTGTGTTAGGCTACTACTATATGTGAGTCAGGTTTTTTCAGTGGCCACTGTGATTTACAGAAACCAGATCATGAGAGTCATGGGTGTTAATAGCCTTTTACTGGAGCACCCCATCAAAAAGTGTTACCATATTGTGATACATTACTGATATGCATGTATAGATTGTCTTTACCGGCAGTACAGAATCGTTCACAAGCTGCATGCGCAAAAAAAGAGCGGAAGTATCCACTAGTATTTCGATGTGAAAAACCGCTGCAACGATTCAGTGTGTGAGTGTATTGTCCGAATGGATCAAATCAAATGAATCGCTAACAATTTCAGAACTTTTGACAAGACCGTTTGACCGATTTGATCAAAAGAGTGATTCTTGTTGTGACTCTATTCGGATTAGTTACAATTCTGAACAGCTGAAGGAAACACCTGATGTGACTGGCGAAATATTGTCGATAATGTTCGGAGTCGGACTGCACTGGTGGCGCGGTGTGTTTTGACTCACCATTCGTTCATTCGAGTCATTCGTTCGGGAATCGGACTATACTGCATAGTCGCTGAATCAAGAAGCGCCGATGCCATTAGTAGTGTATTTTACTACAGGTTTCCGCGAATGTAAATGAAAACATTTCTGAATAAGTACTAGTTCTACGAGAACATTTTTATTTATTACATTATTTTAGAATAAATACCTGCACCTCCAGTTATTAGAATAACCGTAACACGAACATTTGCTCATGAAAACAAATTGTTCATCTCATCTCTGCTCTGCAACCTCTCCTGACAGGTCCACATGACAGGAACAGACAGTTAAATTGTTCCTGCCCCAGTGACTTGTGCCTCTTACATCTGGAGGTCTGATATCAAGAGTAAGAAATGTGAACCTGGTACAGACAGAAATAGGGTTCATTGCTGGGGCAAAGAGGCACAGTATGAAGGGCTTCCTATCTTTGCAGCATGCCTTACATTTTCACCTGACATTATCCTCAACCCCTACAGTACACCAAACTGTAACATGGGTACATTCCAGAAGGACAGCCCCAATGGTCTGGCTTTATGGGTGGTCACATGCAAGCCCAACATAAGAATAAAAATACAAGAATTTATGTTGGCTTGATCTAATAAAATTACAAAATAAAAATCACTATTCATGAGAGACCATGGCCAGATGTGGTGCATATTTATTTATTTATATTTATTTATTTCTGATACTGAAGTGTGAATCTAAAGATCTGGGCAATGCTATGCCCTGTGGTGGACCACCATCTGGCTCTGGTAAAGTGCCATAAAGATATGCATCATGATACGAGGTGATGAAAGCCTAGACTAGGAATGACCTTGAGCTTGGAAAATGCCAATTCTTAGCCCACACTGCAATACAGTATAGTGTGTGATTGTTTGTGGATATTAAAAAGTTTCACTCTCATAGAGACAAACTGCAAGATAAATCAAAATTATACTGTACATTTGTTTTCAATTAATATTTCAGATTAAAGAAGTAAATTGGGCTGCATTTACAAACAATGGCATTTTTAGCCTTTCATCTGTATTGGGGCTCAGGAGTCGGACCTCTATCACAAAAGTGTGCCTACATTTGATACACTTTTTTTTTTTTAATTGCTGTTTTGGATGTAAATGGAAATAGGCCTGAATCAGCTTTACCTACAGCACAGAGTCGTTAAAATCTGAGCCTTTGACACACAAAAGAAAACATTTGCAACGTTTGTTTTCTGCAGAGGATTATGGATAAATATCCACCTCATCCTGCGGTCTTTGTGTTTTCTGTCTTATAAAATACCCAATTACTATTTTGGTGTGAGAAACTGCTGCAAACGATTCAGTGCATGAGTGAACTGTCCGAAAGAATCAAAGTGAGCAAACAGTTTCAGATCTTTTTGCACTGACATTACTGACATACAGTATAAAGATTTATCACTAATATTTTACTGGAGCAAGGCGGGAATTTCACTGCAGGAAAAAAGTGTCTATGCCCCTGGCAATTCAAGTTAAAAACAAAATCAAATGAATCAAGAAGCAATCTTGGCAGATATTTGGCTATTTCAAATACCAAGAGCCTGAAAGTACAACTGTTGTGCAGTCAGTAAGCATTTTATTGTAATTCAGTTACACACATAAAATAATAGATACAAATTACACAAAGAACATTTTTATCACAATGCATTTTCATTGTCAACAGTCACCACCATTTCTACCCTAAAACATGCATAAGCAGAATACACACAAGCATACATACACACACACACGCACTCCCTCCTCATACAGTATATCTTTCCCAAGCGGTCTGAATGATGCTCAAGAGGTGAAATATGAATCTTGCATTGAATACAACCGGTCAATGGGTGTTAATAGGGAGGATTCACTAGATGACATACAGTCTCCAAAATGACACAGAGGGTCACTGTCTCTATCGTTATAGAGTGTGTCACAACCTATAAAGAGAGAGAGAAATGGGATGGGCAAAGAGTATTTGTCACTGCATTTTCACTGTATTTTGTGAGGCTAGTGTGTGTTTTGTACCATAGGGATGCATGTGGTCTCCAGGCATCTGAGGAGGAGTGAGGCCTTGTCTGAAGGGGTCCAGCTTGAAGCTCTGTGAGTCTAGACTGATATTCTGCTGGGTAAGTGAATATGAACCTGCACACTCCAGCTCAGCAGGCAGACCTCCACAAGAGGGCGCTGCGGTCATATAAATGGCAAGAAAAGAACTTCTCAGTCATTAGTCTTTCGCCTTTTAAAAATTACAAGTAGCCTAATGTTTATAATGCAAAATGATAAAATTGAACATTCCCTTTCTCCATTCTTTTCTCTAACATTCATTCGCATTACCAAGAAAAAAATGTTTTTTTTTTAAACAAACATGAAGAAATAACATTTTCATGACCTAATGGGAACGTTAACAAAACGTTCTTACAACATGTGTTTGTTAGCTGGGAAAGTTGGAACAAAATACAGCTGAAATTTCTGTCACTGTACAAAGCTTAAGAATATTTAATGAGACATGAGCTGTTCAGATTCGTTTGTTTGCTACTAAACAACTGTGGCTGTAACATTCTAGCTAGGATGGCATTGTTTACATAACCCATGGTTAAAAGCAGTGCTAATTACAAGCATGAAACATTTTTTTAAGTGGTGTTTAAAAGGAAGATAACCAAAGCAAAGCATGAAACTTTTGTGAACTTTGTATACCAGTGTGTTGTGATTGGCTATCCCTTTTCTCCTGAGGGGACACACTTTGCTTCTGCTGCTGTTGCCTTCTTGCCAGTTTTTTCATCTACAGAGACAATGAGCGTGAAAGAGATTGACATAATAAAAACATGTTCACATATATAGATAGAAAATATCCCTTTATAATGCGAAGGAAGGCAGAAAACACACACAGCGCTACCCTGAAAGGAAATCCAAGTCTAATCTAAGGGGATCTATACATAATATGTCATCAGTTTCCTACACGAGGCAATAACACAGCTTGTTTCCTTATTGGCAAGCTCATATACTGCAGAAAGAGGTCTGTTATCAATTGCATAAGTTGATGCTCTTTCAATGAGTGTGTTTGTCTGTGTCGGTGGGCATCACATTACCTTGGCTCTTTGGTTCTGGAACCAGACCTGAACGACTCGTACGCTCAATCCTGTCTCTGCTGCCAGCGTCTCCCTTACCTTACAAAAGAGAGACAGACAGAGAGAGAGCCATAGTGTGACCTTCATGGTCTACGGGTCATGTAGGCTAACTGATGAACTGACCCACACTGGAGTATCAGATCAACAAAGATAGATACAGCAATGCAGTCCAGAACAGCTGCGGCTGCACAAAAACCTCCTTCACAAATGTTACAGTAAAATAAACATTAAAAAACAAAAGGTTAATGTATAGAAGTAAAACCAAGCTTGATGCTTTAATGAGATTCTTAAACTATTACACAAGACAAATTTATCTGAAGAATTTTTAAAATATTTTATATTCAGTTATTATTTAAATAGCGGACCTTTCGACATGGTTTGGATGAGACCTCAAAAGAAGCTTTGAAAGCACGTCTCTGCTGTGTTGTGAGGATGGTACGAGGCCTTTTAGGTCTCTTGTGTTCCATGTCTTCTATTGTGTTAGACTCCCCTGTGGTCTTAATGTTGTCTTCATCATCGTCCTCCTCCTCACCATCTTCACTTTTACCTGTAGTTAAGGAAACAAGAGTTTCTTAACAGCAAACAGATCATTACTAGAAATAATAATAATAAAAACTATAAAAAACTAAAGCTAATTAAGCGACCAGTATCTGTTTGAACAGTAAAAATGATTTAGTAAGTATCTTAAAAATACAATGAAAATAGTGATTTATGAATGGGCATCTATACTACAATTCAAAACTTTGGGGTCAGTAGGATTTTCTTTAAAGAAATGAATATTTTTTATCAGCAACTATGCATTAAATTAATCAAAAGTGACAGTAAAGACATTTGCAATGTCACAAAAGATTTCTATTCTATATAAATATACTATATATTGCCATACTCTCTTTCTCTCTCTCAATATATTCAGATATATTAATATTATTTATTAATTTATAGCATTATAATATTCTGTTTTATTCATATAATTTATTAACAATATATTTAACTTTTTTCTATTTGTATTTATTACCACTAGTACTATTTTAATACATATGCTTCATTCTTAAATCTAGTGTAAGCATTGCAGTGCCAGTGAGTGTATGGTGTACCAGAATGTGTGTAAAAACAGTGGGATTGTGTGTTAAATGCTGGTACTGAAGGACTCCAGCACTGCACATTTTGGATGTCTCCTTTATTTAAAGCACCTGATTTATATTATCAGATCATTAGCAGAGGCACCATGACCTTACTCCGTGTATCAGATGAGGAAGACATACAAAATGAGCAGTGCCGTGGTGCTCCAGGACCAGGATTGTTTTAAAACAATACCTGAGTCGGAGGTGGTCGGGCTGGCCAGTTGGTTGTGATAGTCTCTGGCACAGAAAAGCCTGTCCCCTGTGAGCACACAGCGGTCTCCCTTCTGCAGCCTGCAGCCGCACACACAGCAGCAGAAACACCGCAGGTGGAAAACCGCAGTGCCTGCGTGCATCACCAGCTCGGCCGGAGAGATGACCTCTGCGCAGCCCTTACACCGTACCAAAAACAACCTGACAGGAAAAGAGAGAAAGAATGAATTAATATGCATTTCTCAAAGCAACTGTATAAACATCAGTTTCAAATGGCACACTGACTTTTAATAAGGTGAATGTGTTCTGTTAATTTTCCACATTCTCCTTTAAATGTCTGCTCTGGGAGTTTGTACGTTTGGTGAGCGTGTACGAAGTTCCGTGAAAATGTTGGATTACTTTATGGCAGCAACAAATGCACATATACAGCCAACGTCGCTTTAAGGCAAGCCTCCAAGGTTAGTAAGGAAAAGCCTAAAGAGAAGGAGACCAGAGGCCAAATTTTTTGAATGGATGCAAATGGAGAAGAGACTTCATTATACAGAATAAACTGCTTTTGAGAAAAAAACAGCCTATCGTTTAATGAATCGACAGCTTATCGGCTAATGTGCCATTATACATTTGTTTTGGATTGATACATTTTTATTGTCTACACTGAAAAAAACCCAATCGATTTTATAAGAGAAGACATGGACAATTTTGTTAACGGATTTCTCATTCATTTCTAAGGAATCTGCAAACAATATTTGATGTTCACACAACAAATTCAGTGATGTCAAGGCTGTGTTGTGATTGGTTATCAAGGCACACATTATCCAAATCGCCGTTACGCTATCTCCAATGGTACAGCCATGGACCTTGTTATCTCCCAATAATAAGACCATGGCTGCATCTGAAATATAGAAGGTGAAAAATTGTATGTGAACATAGTAGCATGTACGAATTCACAGTATTCATAAAACAGTATAGGCAAACTGCTACTGTTTCCTGCGAGATTCTGAAGTGCGCATCTGATGGACACTTTACTATCCCATGATACCCTGAGAGAGGACTTGTGAATGCCTGTGAACCAATGCAACTGAACTGACCCTGGTAGGTCACATAACAATGACAACATGACTAATGTAGTACATCCGGATCACATTCATACTATATAGAACATACTTTTTAATGGTCACTTATAACTTATTCAAAAGAAGTACCTACTCAGAGAGTATGTGATTTGGGGTGGTCCATCTCTGGTACAGCTGTAATTATGATTGATATATTTACAATACATTAACTGTAGGGTGGCAAAAATACACAAAACTACACAGTTGCTTTAAAATCTTTTGATGAAGAGTACAAAGAATGATTTTATTCTTTTGGAATGTTTTATGTTGATGTACCATCAGAGATTCCAAGAATGTTGCTGAGTCGCCCCGTCCATCAAGGAGTGAGACAAGAACTTGCCATGTCCCCTCCACCCAAAAAAAGCCATGCAGACGCATACCCCCAGCATGGTGAGTGTGCATCTTAGCGCCTGGCAACCAGAGCTGGGTTTCAGAGGTTTAGACAGAGGCGGCCGGCTCCACGACTGTGTCCAGGGCAGGACTCCCGGGGTGGGGGGAGAAAGGAGCTTGGCAGGCCGTGGCTCCAGACGGAGGGAAAGAATCACGCCTCCCGGTGGGCGAGGCCGGTCCAGGGAATGATCTTAACTCGACTTAACCAAACCCAGACAAAGGAGGGAGCTGGCCCAGAGCCTCGCTGCCATTGTCCTGCCATGGCAGACACCACATTTTCTGTTTGTCAAACTGGCCTGAGATTTCCGTGCCTGGAGGGGGGGATGGAGAGTGGAGCTGTAGTTTAAGGCTTGGGTTGAGTGTGACAGGGCGGCTTAGAGAGAATCATCCCTAGAAGTGTGACAGCTTCAGACTTGGGCTGACAGGTTACTCCTTAATTCAAGACACTACAGGCAAAACCATTGTTTTTTTTATGCACTAGTCAATTTTGACATAACGTCTTTTTTTAGACTAGTGGAAAGAAAACATCCAAAATACTAATTTAAATAATTATTTTATTATACTTTCAACTTCAGATTCAAACTGGCCTGAGATTTCCGCGCCCGGAGGGGGGGGGGGACGGAGAGTAGAGCTGTAGTTTAAGGTTTGGTATGAGCGTGACAGGGAGGCTTAGAGAGAATGACCCCTAAAGGTGTGACAGCTTCAGACTTGGGCTGACAGGATACTCCTTAATACAAGACACTACAGGCATAACAATTGTTTTTCATGCACTAGTCAATTTTGATATTAAGGGTTATTTTGCTTCTATAATATCTTTTTTTTTAGACAAAACACACATTTAAATAATTATTTTATTATACTTTCAATTTCACATTTCAATTACAATACATATCTTCAAAGGTTGTTTTCTTACAATGCACCAAAAAGTAGCACTTACACCAAATTTTCTAGTAGGTTTTTACAGGTTGGTTCATATAATATTTGCCTGATTTTATTTCTAAAAACGTGGTGAAAATGTATTTTTTCTCAGTATGGAGTGATAAAAAGATAAACGCAAATGAAATGCTCAGATTTCTGTGCTGGAAATGTATGCAAATTAGTGCATATCAAATTAAATAACACATCAATTGTAATATATTTAAACCTAATAATTCAGAAAACTTACTTCTGTACTGTGATTAATCAACTGGGGAAAGTGTTGATATCTGTTAAAATATTTACCCTATTTACCTGAGGTGTCTTAATGCTAAAAAAGTCAAGTCAAGTCACTTTTATTTATATAGGATAAGAGGTTTCCATTTCAAGCACAGACAGTATTGAAATACTGATTATTTCTGTTTCTTTAAATGATAGCGCCATGATTACTGTATGTTCACGCATTAAGATAAGTTTTTGGCTGTGTTTCTCTTTTACAGTTTGTACCAATTATAAGCTTTTGGCTATAGATCAGTGGGTGTTATTGTTGGTATGCGTATCTCAGCTAGTTGCATGGGAGCATTGCAGTGTGTTCACATGCAGACAGCAAAAATTCCTCCTCTGATAAGTATGAATTGAAACATCCCAAAGCCTTGCATTGTTGAGAACTATTAGTGTTGCCCTGGGGTTGCTGTGGAAACCGCTGCAAGTTCTTTAGGGGTTCAGTAGGAGGGACAGAACAAGGTGCTGCTCATTATACTCAAGAGCATCTGTGGTATGTGAATGCAGATAGCAGAATATGCCAATTGCATGTTTGTGTATTATAGATACAGTATACATAGTTACAATTTAGTTAATGGTTGCATTGACAAGATAAAAAATCATCTATTTTGATCTGGAAGCATTTATGTTGATATATTATTGCAACTTGCTGAATCAGAGCCTGAATCTATTTCTCAAACCTTTTTTGGACATTAAATTAGAAATGCATTCCACGTAATATATTGTAATCTATATAATTTCACATTATCATTAATATGATTACATTTTACATTATTAGAAATAATTTACTTTTAAACTAAAAATGTTTCTGGTGAAAAACACACTTGACAGGTGTTTTCTACCTTTAACAAGACACCTGAGCTTTCATTTCATTTTGAAGGCAAACTTTTCTCTATAATGAACTTATAAAACGATACCAAAAGTGCATTTTTTAATGCTAGAATTTAATTATCTTTAAAAATGTGACATTAACTATTAAAAAAAATCACTGGATTCATTATTTTAATATTTGATAGTCCTAATATAATAATAAAAGTCACAGTAAGTTATATTTTATGCTCCTAGTGGCTGCTTTCCATTTAGCTTACCCAATCAGCTTTGGTATCACAGGAATAAATTACATATATTTTTACTTTATTTTTGATAAAAATAAATGCAGCCCTTTTGAGAAAAAAATCTTACCGACCACAAACTTTTGAACAATAGTATAAATGTTTAACAAAGTAAACTTACATAAGATTTGAGAGAAATTAAGCAATTGGGAATCACTAAAGAAATGCACTCTTCTCATCATAAAACAAACAGTAAGAAGTCTGGAGATTGCTACTATTACTACTTAAGTTACTAGTCCTATAAGTCTAAGCATCACTTGAAATCCAAATTAAATTGATCACCATTATAAAACAGTGAAGTACCTGCCTGCTGACCCATTTACAGTAGAGCTGCTCCTTAACCTGGTCAGTAAGTGCTGGGTCAGCGTGCTCTCCACCCCTAAGCCCACAGTTAAGCACTGGGCTACTGGGTAGGAGTGCCAGCCAAGCACTGCGTATGTGGCTAATTGGTCAGGTCAGATATCTCACGGTCGGACGGGCATCAAGCAGGGGCACCACTGGGCACCAACCTATCCAGATGCCTTGACATACTTCACACGCAGCGATCCCCTCTACATATACCCCCTCCCCAACACACACACACAAACACACTCATATTCTACCCAGAACATATGGCCCAATCCTCCACACAGCCTCAGCCTTTTTATTAAGAGCACAGTGGTCACTTCTCCATTATTATTACTTCGGCTGATAGACTCCTAATGTGAGTATGCATTATGGGATTTGGCAAAATCAGAGCTTTTTTGTTGAAAATGTAAACTTTTTAACAGATACATCAGCCATTGAAATTAAACTTGAGAATTTTAGATGGTGATCAGAACTCAAATAGTGTCCATAACTGCACTCGTTTGTATTTTCCGGGTCATTGCGCTGTGTCGCTTCACACACTTTTTTTTTTATACGGAGGTGAGAATGTGCATATGAGTGTGTGAATGAAAATCAGAGTGAGTTTTGGGGGTAGTAGGGGGTCCGTGCACCGTGTCGGTGTGGCCATATGCTGTCCCCAGCTTGCCGTTGCCACACCGATGGGTCCTGCTAATTTAACACATCTTGACAGCGTGTCAGTAGTGCTGTCCTCGTGATCTAACGGTGTGTGTTTGTGTGTGAAAGCCTCCTCGCATTCCATGGCCCACCGCGACCCTTTCTCCTGCAGTCACCTTGTCTTTCAGGAGTTCTGTGCCAAGTTCCCCAATACACACAGTCTCTCTCTCACTCACAAAACACCAACACTCATAAAATGGACTAGAAAAATATTGTTTGTGTAAACAGGTATACAGTTATGTGCTAACAGAATAGTGCATGTGTAATTTTATACTGCATGCAGATGTGACATTTCAGGACTAAAATTTTTGCAAAGAAAAAATCATAAAATCAAAATTATATTTAGCCACAAAAGTTGCCTTGCAAAATTAATTTAACAGAAAGTAAATAAATCTGCCTGCGACATCCAAACATTAGAGTCAAATAAACAACACTGCCTGTAAATAGGAATTTAAAAGATTTAAAGTTATTTACTGCATCATTACTAGAGAGTGGTTAAATATGTGAACTGAAACCTTAACAATAACATTTTACTGGCTTTATCTTTAAAGTATCTACTGAGATATTTACATATAGATTATTTCTGTGCATTAATCATTAAAATGTTCTTTGGAGAATAATGTAAGTGATTGTTGCAGATTGTTGCAGTGCTTAAATTAAGTATAATCAAATTAATTTCTTTATTTTCACTTTCGCTGAGAAATAGAACTGATGGTTATTTATTGTGAGCTCTAAATCTTTACAAAGGGGAAAAATAATCCACCGCACTCTCAAATGCATTTCTAGAAAATTCAAGCAGTCAATTTGTACTTTTCTATACACAGAGAAAGGCGAACATATTTCTCGCGATAATCTCGTCCAATTTTAGTTTTCTTAAACATTCAGTTTAAAGCAAAATGGCGAAGACAGGAACAAATATTTGAAATTTGCAAAACAATAAAATAAAAAAAGCACCAGTAAAGACTTTTCTGCTAAAATTAAGTTAATATGAAGACCTAGCTAAGTTTAGTTTCATCTAAGAAACTTCCGACTACCTTGGACTCACGTCACATTTTCCCGCGTTGAACTTCAAATAGTAATTCAATTAGAATAAAACGAAATCATTGTTTACACAAACAGTAGTAAGTAGAGTCTTACTTCTGGTAGTCTCGCTTGCAGTAGAGTGTCTTGTTGCGGAGGAAGCAGGTGTCTTTCAGAGGCTCGCGACATGATGCGCAGTGCAGGCAGCGCTCGTGCCACAGCCCGTCCTGCACGCGGAGCAGGTACCTGTCCCGGATGAGCTCATTACAGCCTTCACACACGCTCTTTCTCCACATGTCTGGAAAAAAGATACATTTATAATCCATAACCTCAGGGTGTAATTTAAACAAAAACAAAAAGTCTTATGTGTACTTTACAGAATTGTGTATTGTTTTAGCAGCCATCCTTTTAAAATTGTAGCTATAACAAGAAAATGTGAAAGTAGCCTAAAATAAAAGAAAGTTTAATGTCATTTAAAATTGGAAAAATAAATACTGAAAAACAAAATAAAAAAAAACTAAATTCAACCACGAGCATTACAAAATAACAAAAACGATAAAGACCAGCAGAAATAGGCTACAGTGTGAACAAATGAGATTTGATTGTGAGTTTCATTAAAATATTTACTTCTCATCTCTACTAAGATTATTCAGTCAAACATAAAACGACTTGCGACATCCAAATAACACAGTGAGTTAATGCGCATAACATTAATTACTGTCACGTCAGCATGTTTTATCAAGACCAGTAACTTTAGGCTTCTAGTAGGCTATACTGTACATGACAAAACTTTACCAAAACTTTAAAAAATGCTATAGAATTAGACATACATCCACCTACCATTGAAGAGAAAATATCCTTTTGCCGCCCCGTGTAACTTTCGACAGATGCTTAGATAGTTGTAAACGCACACAAAAGCTCCATATGAAAATAAACCTGTGCGTCATTTACTCTCTCTCTCTCTCTCTCTCTCTCTCTCTCTCTCTCTCACATACACAAATCTCTTCCATCAGGTAGACTAGAGAGTAAGTATACAGCCATTTCTTTACAACTTGTGATGAACTCTAAAAAAATAATAAAATAAAATAAAAAATAAAACATGAATTTTGAACAATAATGCCGTTTGGTTTTAAGAGACCCCAAGGCAATTTCAGTTGCTAAAAAAAACCTGACTGATTAAACACTGATTACAATTATTATTGTTATTATACAATATATTATAGATAAACTTGACGGTTCAAACATGCCCTGAAAAATGTTACATTAATTCTGCTTGGGGTCCATAGAAATGTGCATTAAAAAAAACTAATTAAATACATTTAACATAGATTCACAATGGGGTGCAATGCTGCTAATTGTATATGTAGATTTATTGCATTTTTCACAATTTCTTCTGCATGCTGGATAACAGCTGTTCTGAAATGTAGTATATGACAAAATATGGGGTTAAGCTTAAACAATAACTTTCTGGCTACTGTTTTTGCTATGTCAAAAAAACATATTAAAATAATCTGAAAAAGAGGGTAATTTCTAAACGAATATGATTTTTACATGAACATCATTGGGTTCTCTGTGATACAACCCAAACAGACAACCAGTGAAGGAAATCCTAAACATTTGTTTGGAGTTCATATTATAGTGCCATGACCAGAACCGACCATATAGGCTACCTAAAATTAGTTTATTTGAATTTTGACAAATTAATTACATGAAAGAAAAACAAATCACTTGTAATTGATTAGAGATTTATATGACCAATTTATATTGTTTTCAAAAAACATAAAATATGTTCTGTTCTTAAACATACGTATAACGAACACAGATTACATAAAGATTATATGATTTAAAATGAGCTAATGAGAATGAAGCTTATTTTTTTAGATACATTTTAGAAATACATTTATACAAATATTTTAAGATATCAAAAGTTTGGACAAGAAATCTTATACTCTACTTTCCCACATGACAGTTCAAACTTGTTTTAGCTTCAGAGCAATCACAGCCTTTCCACACTGAAAATGAGAAAGCCACCACAGCCGCACGTTAAAGTTCAATTATGGTTTGAATCGTAAAATGGCGCCATCTAGCGGACGGGACACACTGCACCAGATAAGGTATATGATGCAGTGTTTTGTTAAAATGTCATTTATTTGAGATTGAGATATTTAAAATGGGACAACACCACATCTCAAACAATGGCCTGCTCTTTAAAGTCTTTTGGTTTTACAGGGAAAAAAGTTAGATACTCCTGAGATATTTAAAATGGGACAACACCACATCTCAAACAATGGCCTGCTCTTTAAAGGCTTTTGGTTTTACAGGGAAAAAAGTTAGATACTCCAGTAAAATAAGGACAGAAAATAACAAGCTCCTTCATTATTTTTTATTCCAAAAAAAAAAAAAAGGACATAGTATTTAAATATTTATTTGAACATAATTCTAAACTTCATTTTAGAAATTATTGTTTGGGTTGATAAACATTCCTTGAATAAAATATAATTTCTTTATTGCATTGTCTTGCCACAATGAATACCTGATATTAGCTATTTACATAAAAAAAATTTCTCAAAACCATACCAGTAAAATTAATTTCATCTGTGTATTTTGAGACTTGCTCCTCTCATTCCCCTGACAATATTTTTTTTAAAGAATAATCATTTGTGCTTGGTATAAAATATGCAGCGTTCTGCAATATCTTCGATCATGTTCGATATTATATTAGTTACATAAGAATATGTACAAAAAATGGTCCGTTGGAACTTGTGTCACGTGATCTGATGGGGTGCTTCCAGCATCTCCATTAGGAAAGTGTCTATGGGTGTGTCTCCAATCAGCTTAAAGAAAAATAGGTGCTCCAAACACTTGAGTCCGATGGATCGGAGGGCAGGAAGACGCAACAAAAGTTTAGCAAACCTGTAAAGCAGGCAGGGAGGGAGACAGCAGGTGAAATTGAGTATGTGCAAGAGACACGATCAGTATTTACTGAACAAACATGTACATGACTTTACCTGCCAGGCTGGTCAGGGTATTTCTGTTTGGTGTAGGTCTCCAGTGAGGCGTAAACTTTCTCCCTCAGTGCCTCTACCTCCGCTGGGTTGGACAAGCCTTTGGCGTCTACGAGAAGAGACAATCTGTCTATCAAAACATCTTACACGTCTTTACATCTAATCTATTAAAGTTCCCATTCACTGTAATTACATTTTGCAGTGCATAAAGGCATTTAAAAGAAAATGACAGCATTTTTTTGTGTTTCACGACAGAAAGAAAATTTTAAAAAAGTATTATTTTTTGGGTAAAACATGTAGTATCTCTTTATCTATTATTATAATATAAAACATTATATTATATTATATTATATTTTTTTATATTGGAGTAAACTATCTCTTTAACTTGAGTAATATAATATAATATAACATAGTATGTGCTTAAGATAAAAATCAGTCAAGGTCTTTATAATACAATATCATTATAATCTGTCAATATTCTGCCATTATCAATGCTGCAGACAAGTGTATATAAATGGCAATGAGCGACACACCAGGGTTGAAGAGGACGATGGCTCTAAGGCAGCCTAGTTCTGTCTTATCCATCTGCATATCCTTCATTTTAGACACCAGCTCAGTCAATACCCTGCCACACAAATACACAAAGCTGTCATTTGAATACAATAGTTGTAATAAAAATAAAGATACATATTTATGATCATTCTCTAAACAAACAAATATGTTTATTAATCCAGAGGTGTTGAAGGTGGAAATAGTCACCTGTTAAAAATGGAGCCGACACCTGCACTGTGAGCACTGCTCCTGTGGACATGGAGGCCTGTGCCCAGCAAGATGCCATCTTTAACTGTGATTGAGCGATGAGAGAATGAAGCAATGAGGAGCTCGTTCCATCCTGTAAGAAGAAAAATGACATGAAGAAAATAAATGACATGAATAGCAGGAAAAAAATCATTTGTATCTCTCCCTCTCTTAATTCAACAGGTTTCTTCATTAGCAAGGCTTTGTGATGTACTGTGATGACTACTTCATAAATGCATGTGAAGTGTTTGACCAGCAGAGGGCAGCATTCCCACTTACACAACCAACACAGTTCTGTCTGACCCTTTGACCTGAGTTATTATAGACAAAACTACTAAAACATTTTCGAAATTGAATTGAAATAAAGCTGAAATGAAATAAAACATCGATATTAGATGAAAAACGTAACCTTAAAATACTTTTTAAATAATCATTTCTGCCTTGGCAGCTAACTGAAATAAAGACGTTTAGGTTGAAGTATTAAAATTACTAAAACAGAAATAAAAATAATAAAAAATGGCAGAAGCAAATTAAGTACTAAAACTCAAACTAAAATGAAAATGCTAATTTAAAAATACTAATAAATACAACAATAGTACATAATACTAACACAACATTGGTGGTAGTTTTATGTATGTTCATAAAGATGGTATTATTGTGATGCCACTTTACAAGAAACACTTGTGAAGAAATGTGGCATGGTAAATGGCAACATCAGCAGCAACATACAAAAATCAAGGTGTGCAAAATTTTCACTGCTTAAATACACATTTCAGCCATAATATCCTCTCCGTTACTACTTCAGTTATGATTTCAAAATAAACACAAAATATGTATTTTATCAGTATTGCATAATTTTTATCGGCATATCATTTCACAAGGACCTAGTACAGACATTCGGACAATGATGCTGATGAAACTGGTTCCTGTTTGATCATAGGTTTTATATTTGTCATATAGCTGTGCTTTGTAAGACAAAGTCAGCCATTCGAATGGATAAAATCAGACAAGCTCTTTAAAATGTATCATATTCTGTGTCAATTCCCAAGTTTTTCCTGATCCAACAACTTTGATGGAAAGTCCAAATGACACAATTTAAATGAAGTGCTAATCTAAAACAGCTCTTATAGGGGTGACAGAAGAACCTGAAAGTGTTGTCGTAGAGTGCTTGTTTGTTAACAGCAACGTATCTATATCTATATGTTTTATACATGTGTATGAGTGTCACATACCTGCTCGAAGCAAAATGACCTGATCATCCAGAGGCAGATCAGAGAAATTAGGTATTCTCTTGGCCCACTCCACCAGAGTAAACAGTTGTTTGTCAGCTGCATGGCAGATATTAGTGACTGGGTCATTTGTCTGAGAGACCAGATGAAAAAAAGGACAGAGAAAGAATGAGAGAGAGTATTTGAGTTGTTACTTTCTCAAAGAATGCTAAAGTCAGCATGTATGTACTGTGCAAATTGTATATGAATAAATATAAATGTCTTTGTCTTACTGAGTTGCCTGAACTGTTCTCTGTGTATGTCTCAGTCTTAGGTTCTACTGCAAGTTCTGCATCCAGAATCCTATCCACAGGCATGTCTTCATTAAAACTGCTCGTTGATTCCACCTCATTATCACCTTTCTCCTTCCCACGCTGCCTCTCTTCCTGGACTGCTGTGGGGTCCAGCAGAGCAAGGAAATGAGTACATTATAAATCATTGTAATGAATGATTATGACATTTAAAAATTATTTAAGAAATCTCACATTTTTATAACTTTTATCTGTTATATTAGATATTGTACTTATTTTATATTTTATTTTAGATATTATAAGAGAACAAATGTACAAAATAATGTATTCAATATAATGTAAGATTATATAGAAATACAATATAATATAATATACTAATATTTATGTTATTTAGCATAATATTAAAGCATGATATTAATATGTGTTGAAAATAAAATATCTTCTGGCCACAAAGGCTGCAAAAAGCACAAAACAAAACAAAACACCAAACTGAAACAAAACAAAACAAAAATCCAAACCGAAACAAAACACCAAAGCAAAGCAAAGCAAAATAAAACAAAACAAAGCAAAGCAAAGCAAAGCAAAATAAAACAAAGCAAAGCAAAGTAAAGCAAAGCAAAGCAAAGCAAAACAAAACAAAGCAAAGCAAAGCAAAGCAAAGCAAAGCAAAGCAAAATAAAGCAAAGCAAAGTAAAGCAAAGCAAAGCAAAACAAAACAAAGCAAAGCAAAATAAAACACAAAATAAAACAAAAAGCTGCGCAAAGCAAAATGAACATCAAAATAAAACAAAAAGCAACACAAAGCAAAAAACAAAAGGAAAAAAATAAACAGATCAAAGTGAAACAAAAAAAAAAACAAACCAAAACAAAACCCATCAGGAATTTAAAGGCCATTCAAAAATCATTGATTTATGGATAGAAAACCCACAAATACAAACCTTCCCGCTTCATGCCCATGGCCAGGCACTTCTGGTAGCGGCAATATTGGCAGCGGTTGCGCTGGCGTTTGTCGATCAGGCACTCTTTGCTGTCTCGACACGTGTAGGTCAGGTCTTTTCGGATGGTCCTCTTAAAGAAGCCTTTGCAACCTTCACAACTGTAAACTCCATAGTGCTTCCCTGCAAACACAACCATACTGAACCTCAGAAGAGATAGAGATGTATCTTGCATTATCTTCCAAACCAAACCAAAATGCAACACGTAAACAATCCCTGTGTTGTTGTACCTGAAGATCGGTCCCCACAAATGGCACAGATGTGTTTGGAGAGGGATCCAGGGCTGCTGCACTGATAGCTGCTCATGTTGCTCAGCGGAGCCAATCCTGGAGGAGGCTTGATGTCTTCTGAGCTATTCACATTTAAACAGTTCATCTGTGAGACAGCAAGAGAAGTGAGGAGAGACGGAAACAGCTTATATAGTGTAATCAGGAGCAGACTTTATGTCACAATACAGCAGCAGACTGTTTGTGTCCTTTCAGCACAGCAGACACACACACACACACACAAACAAACCCAAGAAAAAAATCACATGTTGTTTTCTGCACTGCAGTATTCATCCTGTAGGTGGCAGTACATGGCCATACCTCAGGCATAAAGAAAGCAAGTGGAATCAGGAATATGATTCAGTTAGCCTTATTTTCAGTGAATTACTGGCATAAATGTTTGTTGATTTCTGTGTTTGTATATGGCGTTTGTTTATGGCTGCTTCTTTTGTGGAGTGTAAAAAAATACACTCACTTTTCACACTGTAATTTCCGCCATATCTCAAATGTTTGATACAGTGTTGTTAAAACTTAAAAATTAAAACTTTAAAAAAGTTAACAATTAAAAAATAGAAAAAGTTAAAACTTAGTTAAAATTAAAAAAAAGTAAAAAAGTTAAAGGGGTCATATGATGCTGCTAAAAAGAACATTATTTTGTGTATTTGGTGTAATGAAATGTGTTTATGCGGTTTAAAGTAAAAAAAACACATTATTTTCCACATACTGTACATTATTGTTTCTCCTCTATGCCCCGCCTTTTTGAAACGCGTCGATTTTTACAAAGCTCATCGGTCTGAAAAAGCAAGGTGTGCTGTGATTGGCCAGCTATCCAATGCATTGTGATTGGCCGAATACCTGAAAAATAATGCTGATAGTACAAATATTACATGAAAAACTTCAAACCTAAATGAAAATAAGAAATGTTGACTTGGCAACTAACTGAAACAAGTTTAAGTACTAAAATGACTCAAATAAAACCAAAGTTTTAGAGAAATAAATAAATATAATAAGATGACAAAATCACATCAAAATATACTTTAAAATAAAAACTGAAAAAGCTAAATCTAAATATTATTGTATATAATACTGTAATAGTAAACAAGCATATAAATGATATTAAAATAACAATGGTTTTGATAACATTCTTTGACAGAAATTATAGTGACGGAAATAAAATTTTAAATATTGAACTCCTTTGTTTCGCTATGGCAAATTTCAAAGTTAGCTTATGAACTCTATAAACACTTTTCAAAATGAAACTTTCTCACTTTTTTATAACTTGACAAAATTACAGCTTGGTAGGAAATAATACAACAAAATTGTCTGATATTATTTGGTTTTTCTTTACCTTCTGTTGTAACAAGTAAAAACCCATTTTCACACAATAAATATAATTATTTCACTCTTTGATCACCAAGTGTTTTAGAAAGTCTAATACATTTTATTTAATTTGATTTTTTAAAATATTTTAAATATAAATATTTTATTTTGCCTTTATTTTGGTAAGATTGAAATCCACCTGGGACAAAAAAGAAACACCCATGTACAGGATTTCAGAAGAAGAATCACCATGCACAATTAATGCCACATGCTACCAGCATTACAAGATTTTTACACATTTTCTTTTAATTTCAATATAATTTCAAGTACATTTAGACCTTGTATGTCTATCATGATTCATAACACACACTCACTTTACTTGCCCCATATACTGTAAGTTCATAGTTATTGATGTCCTTTCATTGGACTAAAAGCCTGAGTCAATGCCTCCAGGGAGAAATGAGACACACATACAGACGCACATAAGCTGACCTCTTTTAACACCAGGGCATCCATACACTCTCAGAAAATAAAGGTACAAAGCTGTCACTGGGTCGGCACCTTAAAGTACAAAAGCTAAAAGGTACATCTCAGTTGCTTTTATCGAGATGTGCAACACAAAAAGCTTTATCAATGATTTGGTCAGATCTTCTGACAAGGTGACTGTAACTGTTTATCTCTGGCAGGTTATTTCAATATAGGCTACAGCTAATGTATTATTGCAAAATAAACCCAGACAGGGTGATCAAGACCCCGGCATGAAGTGAAGGGGATTTGTCACCCTGAAGTGGTTTATTTTTAGATAACGATTCCACCATATCCTGCTTACTATATGGCTGCTTGCTTACCAAATAAATAAATGAGCATATAATGTTGCTTTGAGCTGAAATTATTTTAGTAAATGAGAAGAAAGAGACAACAGAGTGCTACAAGTTACATGAAACTACCATGTCACTGCACTGGACAATGGAGTTTAGCAGTCAAAATAGTGCATTAATATAGTTCTTTTAGGTCTTGTATTTTACTAAATGGCTGTCGAGCTAAAAACTAAAGTACTATACCATAATATACAACAATAAAGACAAAACCATTAAATCATTATCTGTAATTCAAGTCATACACATTTTATCCTTCTAATGCTAAGAATGATGGGAAATGTAGTTGCATGCACCTCATAAACTTGCTAAATGAGAAGGTACAGGTACAGGGCTGTCACTGGGGCAGTACCCTAAGGTACATCTTTACCCCTAAAAAGTACATATCATTACCTTAAAGGTACATATTAGTACTTTAAAAGTACATATTAAAGTGTAAATATTAGTACCTTTTTAATGCATACTGACCCAGTTACAGTTTTGCACCTTATTATTAGCTTCTTTTGTAATATATAATTCTCTTGCTGTTTCTTTTCCTTAAAATTGACCAAATCCACGATTTATTGTTTATTAACCAGGCATAATCAGGGCTGTCACTGGGGTACAAGGTACATCTTTACCCCTAAAAAGTACATATCATTACCTTAAAGGTACATATTAGTACTTTAAAAGTACATATTAAAGTGTAAATATTAGTACCTTTTTAATGCATACTGACCCAGTTACAGTTTTGCACCTTATTATTAGCTTCTTTTGTAATATATAATTCTCTTGCTGTTTCTTTTCCTTAAAATTGACCAAATCCACGATTTATTGTTTATTAACCAGGCATAATCATCAATTTCAGCACTTAAACACTGTAGTATGTATGTTATAAACAAACAGTCTGCAATGTCTGTATTCTTCCAAGCTGCATGGTTGCATGTGTGTGTGTCCCAGACTCTGGGCAGAAGGGGGAATTTCTGTGACAGATGGCCAAGATGCCTTTGGTAGGGCGGAAACATGGTCATACTGTGGTCCGCATGTCGGCCTATCCTTAAAGGGGTCATATGATGCTATTTTAAAGATCATTATTTTGTGTATTTGGTGTAACAGAATATGTTGACATGCTTTAATGTTCAAAAAACACATTATTTTTCAAATACTGTACATACTGTACGGTCCTCTATGCCCCGCCTCTCTCAAACACGTC